CCTGTGATAACAATATTCCACCACCAGTACCACTAAGGTTTGTAAAGACCCTGTGATAACAATATTCCACCTGTACCACTAAGGTTTGTAAAGACCCCTGTGATAACAATATTCCACCTGTACCACTAAGGTTTGTAAAGACCCCTGTGATAACAATATTCCACCAGTACCACTAAGGTTTGTAAAGACCCTGTGATAACAATATTCCACCTGTACCCACTAAGGTTTGTAAAGACCCTGTGATAACAATATTCCACCTGTACCACTAAGGTTTGTAAAGACCCCGTGACAACAATTGTTTGTAAAGACCCCTGTGATAACAATATTCCACCTGTACCACTACCAGGTTTGTAAAGACCCCTGTGATAACAATATTCCACCAGTACCACTAAGGTTTGTAAAGACCCCTGTGATAACAATATTCCACCTGTACCACTAAGGTTTGTAAAGACCCCTGTGATAACAATATTCCACCAGTACCACTAAGGTTTGTAAAGACCCTGTGATAACAATATTCCACCTGTACCACTAAGGTTTGTAAAGACCCCTGTGATAACAATATTCCACCTGTACCACTAAGGTTTGTAAAGACCCCTGTGATAACAATATTCCACCTGTACCACTAAGGTTTGTAAAGACCCCTGTGATAACAATATTCCACCTGTACCACTAAGGTTTGTAAAGACCCCTGTGATAACAATATTCCACCAGTTTGTAAAGACCCCTGTGATAACAATATTCCACCTGTACCACTAAGGTTTGTAAAGACCCCTGTGATAACAATATTCCACCAGTACCACTAAGGTTTGTAAAGACCCCTGTGATAACAATATTCCACCTGTACCACTAAGGTTTGTAAAGACACTAAGGTTTGACCCTGTGATAACAATATTCCACCTGTACCATAACAAAGATTCCAATATTCCACCTGTACCACTAAGGTTTGTAAAGACCCTGTGATAACAATATTCCACCTGATAACAATATTCCACCTGTACCACTAAGGTTTGTAAAGACCCTAAGGTGTGATAACAATATTCCACCTGTACCACTAAGGTTTGTAAAGACCCTGTGATAACAATATTCCACCTGTACCACTAAGGTTTGTAAAGACCCCTGTGATAACAATATTCCACCAGTACCACTAAGGTTTGTAAAGACCCCTGTGATAACAATATTCCACCTGTACCACTAAGGTTTGTAAAGACCCTGTGATAACAATATTCCACCTGTACCACTAAGGTTTGTAAAGACCCCTGTGATAACAATATTCCACCTGTACCACTAAGGTTTGTAAAGACCCTGTGATAACAATATTCCACCAGTACCACTAAGGTTTGTAAAGACCCTGTGATAACAATATTCCACCTGTACCACTAAGGTTTGTAAAGACCCCTGTGATAACAATATTCCACCAGTACCACTAAGGTTTTCCACCTGTAAAGACCCCTGTGATAACAATATTCCACCTGTACCACTAAGGTTTGTAAAGACCCCTGTGATAACAATATTCCACCAGTACCACTAAGGTTTGTAAAGACCCTGTGATAACAATATTCCACCAGTACCACTAAGGTTTGTAAAGACCCCTGTGATAACAATATTCCACCTGTACCACTAAGGTTTGTAAAGACCCTGACGGACAAGTGATTGACATCATGAGCATCACTCCTAGCAGTAATTGTGTGACGACACAAACTAAACCCAGTTATAAGCTAACAAACCTGTCCATTCTATGTATTTAGTTGCCTAAATGCACACATTGTTTTTCTAAGCACAAATCCCACGAGACGGTTGTGTCGAAAATCGGTTAACTCGAAGTGTTACATTTAACTTCGACACAAGGGTCTTCGCCTGTCTATCCTCACGACGTTTCAACATGTTCCTTTATTCATTGGAGGAACGTATTGTATTCGGGCATGGATATATTTAAAAGAGGCAGTGATGGAATGTACTAAAACATCCCTCTGATGCATAGAACATTTTCTACGGTATATAATGGGAGCTGGCTATTGTCCCTGATCTCTTGTTACATCTCAAGTGACAAGAGGACCCTCATTGTGTGTGATAATCAAACCCTGCCAAGCCCTTGTGGCAAGTTGGAAGACTGTTGCTGCGAGGTATCTTCATTGCTATAACCACTGCCCTTGAATTTTATTACCCACGTGGTCAAGGTATGGGTAGTTGCTTACTGATCTCGTACATCACACGAGTTCGTATTGCGTTGACCTGTGTCTTAACGACTTGACCTGAAATTCTAACGATTTGATTGGATAACCGATGACCTCTGAATTAGGTCACATTGTGACGGAACTACTTTTTCATTCATAACAAACACGTGATCAACAGAAACCAACTTTTGGTTAGGTTGTACAAACTCTAACACAGTTGATATGTCCTCTTGTTTAAACTTAGGACAAACTACATTTTGATTAAGCTGTCTAAGATCAGTAATAAGCCTGTATGAATCCTTACCCTTCTTTGGGACACAACTTAAAGGAGATACACAATGAGGTCTATTGTGACACACAGCAAGTGCTGAACAGCGGACAAGATTACTTATCGCATTGTCAATAAAAATACATTCTGTTAAGGAAAGTGTGCGATTTGGAAGCTCAAAAGTCTCAGGTTCTGAAACAAAAGGAATATCAACTCCTATCTCAATCCACTTTAACACTGTATCACATGCTTTCTAAGAAAATTAGATACATTTCTTGCTTAAAAACCTGAGGTGACATAACAGTTAATGCTTTTAAAATTAGGTGCTGAGCTGTATTGTATAAACCTATAATAAAATCACTTGACACGAAGACGCATGTCCGGATGTTGGATTCACCAACATCCGGTATACAATTGATGATTGTACGATTTTCGCTCAGTTGGTGTGACTTCAGTCATTCTACAACTTATATGCATTGTGCGAATGTAAACATTGCGAACGTTGCCGTATCGCTGTTTAATTGTGAGTCGAACTGAGACATTATATCCGTCGAAACTCATAAACGCAATGTTTCCACCAGTGATGTTAGCCGAGTGAAGCAACTGCAAACTAAGAAACGGGATGCTACGGAGTAGTTTAATGTAGGAGGCTGTACGAGGCGATGACAACTGACATGCACCGTGACGTCGGTTACCAAGGGGGCAGACGAGCAAGGCGTAGTGACGTCATTACAGTGTGACAAAATTCCATTCGGCCAGCCAGCATAACATGCTAAGTTATCAATGTGCCGGAGTGTGCTAGTGAACACAATTCTTCCGCAACCTCTTTCTGAAAACCGGTTTCGGTTTGAAACCATAAAAATATAAAAAATACGCTATTTTCTCAATTTAATGCATGTAAGACGTGGGTAATAAATAAAATACCACACTCGGTCTCATAACAAACGAATTATACGATCGCCCTGTCAGATACCATAGGAAGGACACTCGTTTCGTATAATTCGTATGTAATGAGACCTCGTGTAGTATTCTCTATAAATTACCTCTTATCTCTACTGCCACACAATCCTGTACAGTCATTGTAGTACCTTTGTATTGATTTGTGAACTTAGTTTATTTTAGAAGACAATTGTTAATCAAAGCACAGTTCTTTATTGTTTGTTGGTAACGCGCCTAGTTCCTTTACGGATTGACTCTCGTTTAAATATATATTTAAATATTTAGTTTCAACAGGGGAAAATATTCGTAAGACTTTTCAAACCTTTTGAATACAGATATATATTCAATATAAGGATACAGGGAGTACATCCGATGTAGCGATGCTGTTCATATGAATGTTTGACGAGCATCCCCAGGGGAGCCCTCCCGTACTTGACGGTGTTTTTAGTCGCAGCAATTCTGTGAGGAATCCTTCTCAGTAATACCGTCAACAAAGACCTCTGGTTTTTGTAATGATGTTTGAAGTATACCACCACAGTAACAAAAAACAGGCCTATGTAATATTGATCACAAAACAAACCTAAAAAGAAATGTGCAGATTTCAAATGAAATATATATTCAAAACACCAGTGTGTTTGTTTCTGTACGTCAACCCTATAGATTGCTGAAGTACATTACCAAAATCATCGCGGTGCTTAAACGCGTAAGTGTAACAAATACGATTAGTGAGTGAGTTAAAAGCTTAAGTCACATCGTTAGTATTGCAGCAATATCGTGACTTTATGAGTTGTATATTAAAAGTAAATATAAACATCTGTCAATATAAGAACAGTAAGATAACTACATTATCACAGATGTACACTTATAACTAGCATGTTATCATAAAACGATTTTTCTATAGACAACAACACAAACTGAAAAAGTGAGTAAATGAGTTTAGTTTTACGCCGCTTTTATCAATATTCCAGCAATACCACGGCGGAGGACACCAGAAATGGGCTTCACACATTGCACCCATGTGGGGAATCGAACTCGGGTCTACAGCGTGACGAGCGAACGCTTTAACCACTAGGCTATCCCACCGCCCCCAAACAGGAAATGGCTATAGATTGCCAACAACTGAAGGTAGACCATGGCAGACCATTCAAGGGACCATGGGGACAATGCCTGCTACCTGCATGGACCCCAGCTATATTTACATCATCCCTTCTACTGTTGGCAATTTGGGCAAATCGAGCCATGAATTAAAATAAATATGTAGGTATGATGAAGAATGAATCATGAGGTACTGAGATTACCATTTTGAAAAGACACCCCACCTCCCCCATAAAACTCACTTGACAGGTTCACGTAAAACGACTTTTGATCAACAATTTGTTCCTTTTCACAACGTCAAAAATCACTGGATTGCCTGGTCCAGACTCGATTATTTACAGACAGGAATATTGCTGATTGTGGCGTTGGACAACAAACAAAAAACCCAAACTATGTTTTGGGTGACAACTACCCGGAGTATAGGCTTCTCCCTCAAATCGGACGGATATTTTACGAAGAATTCTTTTGGTAAAACATTTCACCTACTTGCCCGTTTCATGAGTTAAAAACAGAAAAAATACACTCACCTTCATAACCAATGGTCGTCGAAACGGTGCACCATACCCGAGCCAGGTCCACTTAACAACAACCGCCCCTTTCTGAAGACAAATCATGTCAATACCACTGTAATGACAGATCGGTTGTATTCGGGCGATCCGCTCATTGTACGCGACATTGTTTTGTACATACACCTACTGGCGTGAAACGTTCGTTGCGTCAATCCTTTACGACACAGCGACCTTGTGCTGGATAACCATCCCTCCGATACTTATATTATAATTTCATGATCTTAGAACAATTCGACCGTGAGAAACTTTCCATGCTATTCACTAAGTAATTGCAACATGCATAAATAATCCACTTCGAAGGGCGGCTATGTGAATTGCCAGTAAAAAACATTTACTGATATATTATTTCCACCATATTCCGACGGGAGGAGTAGGTTTCCCGTAGTTAATGATCCGTTGATATTAAATATTACTAATGCTATTTTTCTGATTGAATTGTCAGTGTGCAGTAACCCACATGGTTAATACGTGTTTCCTGAAAGTGTCAAATTCGCTGAGTCAAACGATGTGGTCATTTAGCTGAAATACTGGTGATACACTCCCCTGGAATCGGAACTCTTGACGAAACCCTAAAAACCTTCAGTGATAAGTGGTTCTTGAGAGGCCAGATGGATAGATCTGTGGTGGTTGTTGGAAGTGGGGATGGTTGTTGGCAGTGTGGATGGTTGTTGGAAGTGTGGATGGTTGTTGGATGTGTGGATGGTTGGATCTGTGGTGGTTGTTGGAAGTGGGGATGGTTGTTGGAAGTGTGGATGGTTGTTGGAAGTGTGGATGGTTGTTGGAAGTGTGGATGGTTGGGTCTGTGGTGGTTGCTGGGGGTGGTTGGGTCTGTGGTGGTTGCTGGAAGTGGGGATGGTTGGGTCTGTGGTGGTTGCTGGTGGGATGGTTGGGTCTGTTATGGTTGCTGGAAGTGGGGATGGTTGGGTCTGTTATGGTTGCTGGAAGTGGGGATGGTTGGGTCTGTGGTGGTTGCAGGGGATGGTTGGGTCTATGGCGGTTGCTGGAAGTGGGGATGGTTGGGTCTGTGGCGGTTGTTGGAAGTGGGGATGGTTGGGTCTGTTATGGTTGTTGGAAGTCTGGATGGTTGGGTCTGTGGTGGTTCCTGGAAGTGGGGATGGTTGGATCTGTGATGGTTGTTGGAAGTCTGGATGGTTGGGTCTGTGGTGGTTGCTGAAAGTTGTGATGGTTGGGTCTGTGGTGGTTGTTGGAAGTGGGGATGGTTGGGTCTGTGATGGTTATTGGAAGTGGGGATGGTTGGATCTGTGGTGGTTGCTGGGGATGGTTGGGTCTGTGATGGTTGTTGGAAGTGGGGATGGTTGGATCTGTGGTGGTTGTTGGAAGTGGGGATGGTTGGATCTGTGGTGGTTGCTGGAAGTGTGGATGGTTGGGTCTGTGGTGGTTGTTGGAAGTGTGGATGGTTGGGTCTGTGGCGGTTGCTGGGGATGGTTGGGTCTGTGGTGGTTGCTGGAAGTGGGGATGATTGGGTCTGTGGTGGTTGCTGGGGATGGTGGCTGTGGTGGTTGCTGGGGATGGTGGCTGTGGTGGTTGCTGGGGATGGTGGCTGTGGTGGTTGCTGGGGATGGTGGCTGTGGTGGTTGCTGGGGATGGTGGCTGTGGTGGTTGCTGGGGATGGTGGCTGTGGTCGGGAGTGTAGTTTACGTTACCTGTTACCTTGATGCCAGATTTCCTTTCTTGCCTGAGATACATCATTTGTGCAACGAAATGCCAAATATTTAGAGCAACTAAGAAAGACTGTGCAACACAGTTACTAACACTCAAGATGAAATCACTAGATAGAGACTCTAATAGAGGAGATTATACTAGAATCACAATGACCTGACACGTGAAGAAATAATCTGTGATGACATAATCACCAGGGGCACAGATGGCACAATTACAATAACACAATTACCTGAAACATAAAAACTGAGGACACAATTACTTCGGACACATCTACTGAGGACACAATAAGTTGAGAGACACTTACTGAGGACACAATAACTTAGGACAATCATTTGAGACACAATTACTGAGGACACAATTACTTGAGACACACTTACTTTGGACAATAAATGAAACACAATTACTGATGACACAATTATACTTAGGACAATTATTTGAGACGCAATTACTGAGGACACAATTACTTGAGACACAGTTACTTTGGACAATAAATGAAACACAATTACTGAGGACAATTATTTGAGACACAATTACTGATGACACAATTACATAGGACAATTATTTGAGACGCAATTGCTGAGGACACAATTACTAGAAAAACAGATACTTAGGACAATAACTGAAACACAAGTACTGAGACCAATTACTTGAGACACAATTACGTACGACGCACTCACTAACCGCACATATATTGAGGTCACATTCTCAAGAGTCACAGTTACTGATGATCCCAATCAATAGGGAAATAATCTCAAAACACAAACTGTCTTGAGTTTTAATAACGAGAGGGCACCTATCAGGACACAGTACCGTGATACGTAATTGTTTGAAACACAATTACTCGCCGTACAAACACAGATTTCACAGAGACAGTCACTTGAAGCACAATTATAGAGTACACAATAATTAAAGGCACAAGAGACACAATTACAGAGAACACAATAATTCAAAACACAATTACAGAGAACGCAATAATTAACGACACAATCACAGAGAACGCAATAATTAACGACACAATCACAGAGAACACAATATTTAAAGACACAAATACAGAGAACACAATAATTAAAGACACAATCACAGAGAACACAATAATTAAAGACACAAATACAGAGAACACATTAATTAAAGACTCAAATACAGAGAACACATTAATGCAAACACAATTACAGAGGACGCAATGATTAAAGACACAAATAAGGAACACAATAGCAAGATACACAGATATAGACGACACAATAATTTGAGACACAATTACATATGACGCATTAATTAAAGACACAAATAGAGAACACCGTAGTTCAAGACACAAATACACAGAGGCACAGAAGGCACACTTACAATAACACAATTAACTGAAACACAATAACTTGTGACACAGTTACTTTGGACAATAACTGAGACACAATCAAAGAGAACACACTAATTAGAGACATAAATACGGAGGACACAATAGTTAAATACACAATTACAGAGGAAACAATAATTAAAGACACAACTACAGAGAACTCAATAATTACAGACACATGATAAAGACATAATGATATTTATCACCATCATTAGATGTTTTGTATGTCTGTTTTAGCGCTTAGAAACGAGGGACAACGGCTATCGATCTTTATCTATGGTAATTATATTATCATGGGAAAGATGTTTACCCACATCTAATGGAAATGTTAAAATGTCGACACTAGACGGTTTCACTGATCGTGTCATTGTTAAATCCTCCCGACCTCCATAATCAAATCCATCGTGCATTAGACATCAGCTCACTGCCATTGTTTGGAGGACACGGTTTTAGATTTCAGCTCAACTAAAAGAAATGAAGTCTGTTTGCTCACACGTGTACCGCTGTGGAATTGATTTTATCATGGACACTTCAATAGACATCCGTCCAACTAAACTATTTGGAACTCCAGCAAATGACATGCATTGATTTTTGTCAGTATTTTAATTGTGAATACACGATGCATTTACAGCCACGGTTTTTATGTCGCTTCTTTATTGTTGTGTTAGCAGGTTCACTGGGGGTCTGTCCATACAACCAGTGGTTAGTAAACAATGGATATGAATGATTGTTTTCTTCAATGCTGTCAAGACAATTGACGGTTGCACATGAATTCACCCTTAGGATTTCTTCCTTAAAAAAACATGAATAAAAAATAAATAGATGAAAAATTATATAAGATCCGAAGCATTTGTGTATGTTTGTTGATATTAGGGTTAATGCGTTCAACTCCAGACATTGTGCCTGTAGTTTAAATATACACCCTTGTTCATAAATAGGTAATTTTTCAATTGATTATATCATTACTGATGCTAGTGTCATGTAGAATCTATGTGGTTATGAGCCAGTGGTCGCCATCAATTGATTATATCATTACTGATGCTAGTGTCATGTAGAATCTATGTGGTTATGAGCCAGTGGTGGCCATCAATTGATTATATCATTACTGATGCTAGTGTCATGTAGAATCTATGTGTTATGAGTTATGAGCCAGTGGTCATTACATCAATTCATGATTATATCATTACTGATGCTAGTGTCATGTAGAATCTATGTGGTTATGAGCCAGTGGTGGCCATCAATTGATTATATCATTACTGATGCTAGTGTCATGTAGAATCTATGTGGTTATGAGCCAGTGGTCACCATCAATTGATTATATCATTACTGATGCTAGTGTCATGTAGAATCTATGTGGTTATGAGCCAGTGGTGGCCATCAATTGATTATATCATTACTGATGCTAGTGTCATGTAGAATCTATGTGGTTATGAGCCAGTGGTCGCCATCAATTGATTATATCATTACTGATGCTAGTGTCATGTAGAATCTATGTGGTTATGAGCCAGTGGTGGCCATCAATGATTATATCATTACTGATGCTAGTGTCATGTAGAATCTATGTGGTTATGAGCCAGTGGTCGCCATCAATTGATTATATCATTACTGATGCTAGTGTCATGTAGAATCTATGTGGTTATGAGCCAGTGGTGGCCATCAATTGATTATATCATTACTGATGCTAGTGTCATGTAGAATCTATGTGGTTATGAGCCAGTGGTCACCATCAATTGATTATATCATTACTGATGCTAGTGTCATGTAGAATCTATGTGGTTATGAGCCAGTGGTCACCATCAATTGATTATATCATTACTGATGCTAGTGAATCTATGTAGAGATCTATGTGGTTATGAGCCAGTGGTGGCCATCAATTGATTATATCATTACTGATGCTAGTGTCATGTAGAATCTATGTGGTTATGAGCCAGTGGTCGCCATCAATTGATTATATCATTACTGATGCTAGTGTCATGTAGAATCTATGTGGTTATGAGCCAGTGGTGGCCATCAATTGATTATATCATTACTGATGCTAGTGTCATGTAGAATCTATGTGGTTATGAGCCAGTGGTCACCATCAATTGATTATATCATTACTGATGCTAGTGTCATGTAGAATCTATGTGGTTATGAGCCAGTGGTCGCCATCAATTGACAATGTTGATGGAACAAACTGACGAAAACAATGTCTGTTAGTTATAGATGAATGAATTTAACGCCAATACTTCACGTGTGTCTTTACATCAGTTCGTCAGGCTCCCATAACGCACACAGTAACCTAATTAAAGGAGGCAGTTCAGTCCTCCATTAACTTCTTCTGAATACTTGATTGTTTGTCATGACAGCAAACTGTTAAGCAGTGAACCAAACGGCTAGGTACATGCAGTTCAGGTTAGATACATCTAGCAGAAGGCTGGTTACATGTTGCACACGGCTAGATACATCTAGCAGAAGGCTAGGTACATGCAGTTCAGGTTAGATACATCTAGCAGAAGGCTGGTTACATGTTGCACACCGCTAGATACATCTAGCAGAAGGCTGGTTACATGTTGCACACCGCTAGATACATCTAGCAGAAGGCTGGTTACATGTTGCACACCGCTAGATACATCTAGCAGAAGGCTGGTTACATGTTGCACACGGCTAGATACATCTAGCAGGCTGGTTACATGTTGCAAGGCTGGTTCCCTGTTGCACACCGCTAGATACATCTAGCAGAAGGCTGGTTACATGTTGCACACCGCTAGATACATCTAGCAGAAGGCTGGTTACATGTTGCACACGGCTAGATACATCTAGCAGAAGGCTGGTTCCCTGTTGCACACCGCTAGATACATCTAGCAGAAGGCTGGTTACATGTTGCACACCGCTAGATACATCTAGCAGAAGGCTGGTTACATGTTGCACACCGCTAGATACATCTAACAGAAGGCTGTTACATGTTGCACACCGCTAGATACATCTAGCAGAAGGCTTGAAACATGCTGCACACCGCTAGATACATGTAGCATAAGGCTTGTTGCATGTTGCACACCGCTAGGTGATCTGGCGTAAGGCTCGTTACATGTTGCTCAAGGTTAGGCACATGTTACACAACCACAACACTATTTATATCTGGCATAAGTCTTGTTACATGTTGCACACCGCTAGGTAATCTGGCATAACGCTTGTTACATGTTGCTCAAGGTTAGGCACATGTTACACAACCACAACGCTATTTACATCTGGCATAAGTCTTGTTACATTTAGCACCAGCCGGGTACAGGACTCCCAAGGCTAGGCCGCCATATAGCTGGAATATTGCTGAGTGCGGCGTAAAACTAAACTCACTCACCCAAGGCTAGGTGGATGTTGACGAAAGTTTACACAGTTATTAAAACGAGGCTTCAAACCTTTGGCACGATTAATTAGAGGGTAACACCTGAACAGATTGAATAGAATTAATTATTACTTCCTGGTAATAGAACTGCTGACGATTTGAAATCGATTTCGCTCATGATAACATTGTCAAGAGAGATTGCAAGTCATGATTCGATTTGTTGAGTGCGTGCGTACTTGAGTAAATCTGCAGCGTGCAGAAAGTCAGGCCTGTGTAGATGTCCAGACACAACCCGGCTTACGTGTCTGAATATTGGGCATGTTTTTAGTAATTATGAAGTATATCCCACAGTTA